AAAAAAAAAAAAAAAAAAAAATCAATAATAATGATCATGATGGCTAATATTTCTTTAATGTTAACTGTGTATCAGTCCCTATGTTAAGCGCTCTATACAATTTGTCTTATTAAAATCCTTCTAAATATCCTCTTAGCAAGCATTATTATTATGAAATTACAGACATTGAAAGTGTAAGGATTAAAGCATGTTAAGTAACCTGTCTAAACTCATACAGTAACTAAGTGATGGAAATGATACAAGGTTCTCACCTGGTACCTTCACCAAAAGCCCATTTCCGTAATCCCACTGTCAAATGTTTCCATTACTCTAGTTTATATATCTGGTTCCCAATTTACAACCTCTAACCTATCAGTGGTTTGTATTATTTTCCCTTAATCTTATGATTATAATCAGTGAAAATCCTTTGCACAAGTTCACTTTAGTGTCATATATAAAGCTATTACTGAGGACTAGGATTGCCTGTATTTTCTGTTTTCCTTTACCCTTACCTTTTTTTTTGTTGTTGGAGGAGGTTGAGGGGACAGCTTCTCTCTCTGTTGCCCAGGCTGGAGTGCAGTGGTGCAATCATAGCTCACTGCAGCCTCAAACTCCTGGGCTAAAGCAATCCTCCTGCCTCAGCCTCCCAAGTAGCTGGGATTACAGGCACACACTACCACACCCAGCTAATTAAAAAACAAACAAACAAAAAGATTATTTTGTAGAGATAGGGTCTCACTGTGTTGGCCAGGTGGGGTCAAACTCCTGGCCTCAAGCTACCCTCTTGCCTGGCCTCCTAAAGGGCTCGCCTTCCCTTTCATTCCTTATTTTCTATTGTAACTCTGTTTGCTATCAATTACTAAACCAATACTACCTAATATTTTTGAACTCCTCTTTTAAGTAGAGAAAACTGTTAAATGGGTTTGGAAAGCATTAGCAGATGATACCTACTGATTCTCTTTAATACGCCTGAGTGTTTAATCTCTCAAAATACCCTGAATGAATCAGAAAGGATTCCACTCTGTTGTTCTTAAGTGTCCCAAAATCCTACTCTTATATTACACTAATTTGCTTATAAGAATATGAATCATTTCCTTCATTAGTCATTTCCTCAAATACTATCCTAGTCTCTAAGCACTTTTATGCAGTTAGCCTATGCTAATTTATATTTATTTTGAGTAACTTTTAAAAGTGTATTTTTTGCTTCTATGTTTGTCTGGCTCTCATTTTGATTATAAGAACTTTAGAAAGATGTTTATCTTTCTCTTTTTAAAAACTCTGCTTCAAACATGTGGGCTCTGTTCATGGCATATGTTCCATGTATGTTCTGGATTGAAATCATTCATAACTCTGACACAGTAGAGTAAAACTAGGGGAAAACTTAAAATCAATTAATAATTCTCTTCATTTAACAGTTCTGGCAACAGAACTGTTGTTGGAAGATAATGTTGAGGTTACTTTCCCCAATGGAATTTTAAATTATTTATGGAGAGCCAGGTTTATCATATTCCCTATCCTTCTAGATAATCATAAGCTAGTGTTTCTACAGAGGATTAAAATGAAAACAGTAAGTCCCTTTTGGGATAGAACCTAACCAGATCTCAAAATATTTCATGGAAAATGACTGCCTTGAGGATATGGGATATGGAGAAGATAAAAAAAATGGAGGATACATTATGAGTATCATGTATGTTCTAGTAGATATTCTTGGAGTGATAATATATTTGAGGAAAATTTTAAGGTGTATATATCATGCTCTGTAAGTAGCTTATTCTATAAAAGTCCTCCAATTTGTTTCAAGGCAAATTATTATTTTAAAATGAAGGTAATCTGAAATTCTAGTAACTTTTAAAACATACACACACAGTACATATGGTTTGTAACTGGCTACTTTTGCTTAATGGTCTATTACGAATATCTTTTTGTATCATCAAATATTCTTCTACATCATATGTACTGAATAGTATTTCACTGTATGGATGTCTCATACTTTATTTAATCAATCTATTATTATTAGACACTTAAGCAGTTAATGTTTCACTGTTATGAAAATTCTTTTCTTTTTCCTTTGGAAACAGGGTTTTGCTCTGTTGCCCAGGCTGGAGAACGAAGTGGCACAGTCATAGCTCACTGCAGCCTCGATTTCCTGGACTCAAGCAATCCTCCTGCCTCAGCTTCCTGAGTAGCTAGGACTACAGCTGCATACCACCATGCCCCGCTGATATTTAAAAAAAAATTTTTTGTTGCCCAGGCTAGTCTCCAACTCCTGGCCTTAAGCAATCCCTCCACCTCAGCTTCCCAAAGTGTTGGGATTAAAAGCATGAACCACTGAGTCCAGCCTATTACGAAAATTTTGCAATAGACATTCTTAAGCTAAATCTATGATTATTGTCTTTGAATGATTCTGTAAGTGGAACTCCTGGAGCAGGGCATATAACATCTCGAGGCTTTGATATATATCATAAAATAGCTGTATACTTCTATTCCCCCCAACCCCAAGCAAAAATCTATACCAATTTATATTAACGCTACCAGCATTGCCTAACAAATGCCTGTTTCTGTGCATCATCACCAATATTATGTATTATG